AAGGCAATGAGTGAACAGGAGGAAAATGAGCAGGGGAAAAGTGTGCAAAGACCCCTATATATGCACAAGGGAGATCAAAGCCAAGACAATATGATTCATAGATTCCAAGTTGAGAAGGACAACTGTGAACAGTTAGTCTGACCTCCTGTATAACACAGGCTGAAGATCTTCCCCAAAACAATTCTTGTGTGAACTAGACCATATCTTTAAAAAAATATTATCTAATCTTGATTTAAAAATGGCCAGGGATGAAGAGTCCACCACAACCCTTCATAAATTGTTCCAATGGTTACTTACGCTCACAGTTAAAAAATTGCACCTCCTTTCCAGTCTAAATTTGTCTAGCTTCAACTTTAAGCCACTGGATCGTGTTATACCTTTCTCTGCTAGACTGAAAAGCCCATTATCAACATTTTGTTCCCCATGTAGTTACTTATAGACTGTGTTCAAGTCACCCCCTAACCTTCTCTTTGTTAAGATAAATAGACTTGAGTTCTTTGCACCTATCATTATAAGGCATGTTTTCTAATCCTTGAATAATTCTCATGGCTGTTTTCTGAACCCTCTTAAATTTCCAATATCTTTCTTGAATTGTAGACACTAGACACTGTATTCCAGTAGCAAGTGCCCAATACAGAGGTAAAATAATCTCTCTATGCCTACCTGAGCTTCCCCTATTTAGGTTTCATGGGATCATGTTAGTTCTTTTGGTCTAAGCATCACACTGGGAGCTCATGCTCAGCTGATTATCCGCAACTCCCAAATCTTTTTCTGAGTCACTGCTTCCCAGGATGGAGTCCCCCATCTTGTGTGTATGCCCTTCATTCTTTGTTCCTAGATAAATACATTTCCATTCAGCTGCATTAAAATGTATATTGTTTGCCTGTGCTCAGGTTACCAAACAACCCAGATTGCTCTGTATCAGAGACCTGCCCTCTTCTTTATTTACTACTCCCCTAATTTTTGTGTTGTCTGCAAACTTTATCAGTGATTTTATATTTTCTTCCAGGTCTTTGATAAAAATGTTAGATAGCTTAGCACCAAGAACCTGCGGGATCCCACTAGAAACATACCCACCTCCATGGTCCCTCCTTCTCTCCAAACCCACGTGTGTGACCGCTAGGCAGCTGGAGCATCACAAGTCCACTCAGTGTAGCATAGTATGCTCCAAAGTGGATTGGCCCATAAATTTTGGGCTTCACAGGGCTTTAAGGCCACGCCACTGAACTCCTCTGAGACCCTGCAAAATCCTCACTGGACAAGAAAGTTTTAACTCCAGAAAGGGACAGGGCCCATTGGAAAAAAAAAAACACATTTGTGTGATGGTTGTTCAGAACCAAATAAAGTGACCCACAGGTCCCTGAATCAGTGTACTTTTGCCACAAGTATGCTCAAGAAAATGGTTTCTGCACTTATACATAACTGATCTTGGGAAGAGAAAGAGGCAGGTCAGAGACAGGCAAAATGTTATTTAATAATGCCGCTTTATAACCTGTGTGCTCCTCCAGTTTTATGGACGAAGTTAAAAATCACCCTCTATTAGAAATGACCCTAGACCACAAAGTTCAGATCTGGATCCTAACTTTCCCAAACTTGCAAGCAGACCTAGATTCCAGGTCAGACCCATGTCTAATCTATACCACTATGCCTTTTATGGCCTTTATAATGAATAGCCTCGCTGCGGGATCACAGTACTGGTTTCATTCATATTTACATTGCTATTTTGAAAGACAATGCACATGATTTAAAGAAAGTGTTGGAAACTTTTCAGATTTTGAATATTTTGCCTTTTGTAGTTTACAGCCTTAGTAGTCAAATGCTACTTCAGCTTCAAGTCATTTAATTTTTATATGGCTTACTAATAAATGAAAATCAGAGGGACTGCTCATCAGTACTAAATGGCACATACCCATAGGAGGCACTACAGGCAGCCTGTATCTCCCTAAAGCCATGCACTGTGTTGTTTCATGACACTCACTCAAGCACACACAATAAAGCTCCCTCTACTCCCTCCCCAGAACCTCCCTTTTACAAACGCTTACACTCACACATGTAAACAAATGAACAATTGCACTATGTGTCTGGCAGCCTGTAGCTCTCCTTCTGATTCACAAAAGGCACGCCCCATTGAAAAGATCCACAGGCAGGAAACTCTCAGCAAGCACACAGATTAGCAAAGCCTCATTTCCACTTCACACAAGTTGCTTTGGAAACCAATGCAGCTCACTGGGGCCTGTGCCCTAGAAAACCTTGTGCCCCAATACGAGGGTACATAAGAAGGGGTGGACCACTACCACTTCAGCTCCTTTTCAACCACTAAAGAGGTTATTTACCTTGTCCAGAAACTGGAGCATGCATCCCTGGAGGTGTTCCACTCGCTGTCCTCTTTCTCCTCTGCCTCCGAGTCCCTCGCTAGACCTTTGTGACTGAGAAAGAACTGGAGTGGGGGCAGCGTCTCCCTTCCCTATATACCCTTCTATTAGGGCACAAGGGTGTCGAGGGCCCAAACGGACAATTCTGACAAAAATCTCTGATCAAGAGTGCATGGGTGCGCATATCGTGACATGGAGCACTCATTAAGACATGACGTGAAGAAGAACTAGGAGGATACCGGGAAAGGAAAACCATGTTGATTACATTGGTCTGAGGTCAATTCTGCACCAGGGTTTAAAAAAAAAAAAAAGAACTACACAAATAAAGGACATCACACTGGCCTGACATAATTGCAGATCCAATATCTTATGTTCCACAAGGGCTAGAAACAAATGAACGTTTTGTATCACTTCTTTTTCTTAGCATATGTGCAAGCTGCCTCAGGTGGCATGTAACCAGGATTCATCACCCAATTCAGTCTGCTGGTTGGCTCATTAACTTCCCCAGCCTGGGCCGGGTACTGACAGGGAGCACGACATGAAAACTGGGAATATCAGATAGTCAAGATAGGTTGTGAGATATCAAACATCAGAAGAACATTAAATTGATTCAACATCTTCCTCTTGCACTAGCTGAATTCTGACATTATTTTGATCATCGGCTACCTGAAAAAAGGTTAGCTCTAGAAAGCAATGCTTTTTACCACCTGAAGGCATGGAAGAAACTAAGCAATCAGATGGCATAAAGTAGTAATCTTCAGGAGTTTGCAAAGATTCTTAGTTATTGGACTAGTATGAATGCTTTCAGGACTAGTACAATTTTCCAAGCAACAGCCCTAAATCACGGACCAAAGAGGAAATATGTTGATTCCCAGCGCTGAGCTTGTGGATTCCAAAGAAACTTACTGGCTTCATGCCTATGAAGTACATATAAATCAGTGTCCATGGGCCTGCTATGCTCTCCTCCACTCTGCAGCAAGGAAGGGAGCAAACATGTACAAATACCATCCAGATTAGTCCAAGCAATGGGAAAAAGAGGGCAGGAAAGGGATACATTGTGCATTTTACTCTTCCCCGCCCCGCTGTAATCTTGCCGTAGGATTTTGAGCAGCATAGCTGGATGGGGAAGAGGAACACATTTTCCCCTTCAGCAACCTGATGTTCCAAGCTCATGACCTGCTTTTCTGACTTCTCCTTACCGTTCGCAGTGCTGTTTTTGTGCGTCGTCTTGGAGCGGAGCAGTAACTGTTTGCAGGTGCTGTGGTGCACTGGAAATCCTCCTGAGTATTAAGGCTGGTCCTTACAAAAAGAACGTCGGCTCCATGGCTTTTCAAATCCCCTTTCTGAGAGCTGACTAATGCTCAGAGATACTAGTGGCACCATGACCACGGTAGCCAGTCATGCTGCTTGAGGAAGGGGGAGTGAAGGGCAATAGTGCATCAAGATGCAGGCACGCAACAGAGATGTCCCAAGACCCAGGGGGTTGCTGTTGGAATTCCTTGGTGGCTCTCATGCTCTGCACGGGCCTGATACCACATTCCCTGCCCCTTTCACACCATAGCTAACCGTTGTCCCATGAGAGAACACAGCAATTCATCCATGCCCTCAACTGTGCAGGTTTCTTACAGTAATTTTCCAACACTTGTATGTGGAATGGAAGAAATGGTTTGGTTTTTCTATTCAGAAAGGAGGCCACAGGATTTTTTAATGGCTATTTATATAGTATGTTCAGGGATCATAGTTTTACAACTGTACTGTATTTTTGCCCTTACTCAAGACAAAAATTCGGTCATTCCTTTTGAATGCGAGCAAAATAAAGGCCTGGAAAATGAAGAACAGAGATGAAAGATGAGGTTCTTCATTGCAATTCATATTTAAACCCTCTTTATTTAGGAAATGCTAAAACAAAACAACACAAAGTAGTCTGAGTGACAGAAGTGCTGATTCTGCTGTTATTCAAATATTGATGCACCATTTATAGCTCTGGTTCAGAAAGGAGACTTTACTGTTTTAACTGCACCAGTGAAGAATGTCACCAACAAAGCAGTTAAGCCAGCCAAAATATTAAAGATAAAATAAAATTAACAGACCTCTGTAAGAAGTCTGATATTCCAGGTGAAGATTTTTAAAATATATAATTGAAAGGTACCTATTTAACATAAAAATACTACTGCAGACTGCTGTAAAATCTGATTACTAATGTCAGTTCTATAACAATAAGAGATTGTATAGGCATTTTCCTACAATCCACTATATTTTATAGAATACCTTTCTTGAGATGGGATTGTATAATATGGTCTCTGATCCCACAAATACTCATGCATATGAATAACTTTAAACATGAGAAGCCTCATTGATTCAACTGGGACTAATCATTTGCATGAAGTTAAACACCTGCATATGAGTCTGCCGGATAGCGTTTGCTCAGGTAGTTAATTTCAGAAACATAAGTACACTACTTTTTTTTTTTTCTTCTGGATTTGCCATTAAAATTTTATGTTATTTTTACTTACACACACACGCACTCATCTATCAATGCAGGTTATAAAGACATCCTGAGATTCAAAAGTTAATAATGATTACATTAATTACAATCGAATTTGTGCCAAAACCTTTTCTATCACTTACCTCAAATCATCTGAGCGTGTTTCAAGATGCAGTCATAAGTCTCTCTTTTTCCCCTCAGCACACTAGACATTGCAGCCCTTTTTTCTGATGTCTCATATTAAAACTTTTCCATTGTGCTCCAGGATACTTAAATGAAAACAAAACAAGAAACACTCAGAATGAAAATGTCACTTCAAGTGGTTGCTAGGTGGCTCAGGGGAAATCCCTGACCTTTCTCCAATGTATATTTTATTTCCTAAAGCAACTGTGTTAACTACCCAGAGCAGAAGCACTTGGATGACTGTTTTGTAGGTTGCACTTTTCCCCCCCCAATTGCCTTAAACAACTTTGAAGTACTTTTAAAAAATCATGTTCTCTGGTACACTATACTGTACTATAGTATGGTCGTTAATGAACAAATGAGTACCTCATTCAACAAAATACAAAATTGCATGAGGGAAAGGAAAGAATCACCGTAGATGCAAATCAGAAAAATATGTTGTGTTAAATAACAAACTGCTACAGTAGTGATCGTTCATGATTATTATTTAAGGAAGATTTATGTGACGTTTGATTGACTGCCTAAAGATCCACACAGTTCACTTTGTCACATTCATCTTTTTTAATACTGATATGTGGGAAAATATCAGACCAGACAGTAAATATGTACTACAAAATTTGGAATTTACAGAACACAAGACAGACTGGCTGAAGGAGGGAGGAAAGAAGGGTGGGAGGGTGAGTGAATGAGAGAGAGTGACTCTCTGTGTGAACTCAAATGTGAAATTGCAGAACTATTAACTATAGTTTGTAACCTGTCCTTTAAATCAGCTACTGTACCCAGTGACTGGAAGATAGCTAATATAACGCCAATATTTAAGAAGGGCTCTAGAGGTGATCCTGGCAATTACAGACCTGTAAGTCTAATGTCAGTACCAGGCAAATTAGTTGAAACAATAGTAAAGAATAAAATTGTCAGATGCATAGAAGAACATAAATTGTTGTGCAAAAGTCAACATGGTTTCTGCAAAGGGAAATCATGTCTTACTAATCTATTTGACAGGTTTCAGAGGAACAGCCGTGTTAGTCTGTATTCGCAAAAAGAAAAGGAGTACTTGTGGCACCTTAGAGACTAACCAATTTATATTTATAATTTTATAATACATATTTATATATTTATTCATATATATTTTATAAAATATATTTATAATGTCTTCTGCAGTTTCCACAGTATGCATCCGATGAAGTGAGCTGTAGCTCACAAAAGCTTATGCTCAAATAAATTGGTTAGTCTCTAAGGTGCCACAAGTACTCCTTTTCTTTTTGTGAATACAGACTAACACGGCTGTTACTCTGAAACCTGATAAATGTAAAGTAATGCACACTGGAAAAAAGAACCCCAATTGTACATACAATATGATGGGGGCTAATTTAGCTACAACTAATCAGGAAAAACATCTTGGAGTCATCGTGGATAGTTCTCTAAAGACGTCCAAGCAGTGCGCAGCAGCAGTCAAAAAGAAAAACGGGATGTTAGGAATCATTAAAAAAGGGATAGAGAATAAGACGGAGAATATCTTATTGCTCTTATATAAATCCATGGTACTCCCACATCTTGAATATTGCGTACAGATGTGGTCCCCTCATCTCATAAAAGATATACTGGCATTAAAGAAGGTTCAAAAAAGGGCAACTAAAATGATTACGGGTTTGGAACGGGTCCCAAACGAGGAGAGATTAAAGAGGCCAAGACTTTTCAGCTTGGAAAAGAGGAGACTAAGGGGGGGATATGATAGTGGTATATAAAATCATGGGTGGTGTGGAGAAAGTAAATAAGGAAAAGTTATTTACTTGGTCCCATAATATAAGAACTAGGGGCCACCAACTGAAATTAATGGGCAGCAGGTTTAAAACAAATAAAAGGAAGTTCTTCTTCACTCAACACACAGTCAACCTGTGGAACTCCTTGCCTGAGGTTGTGAAGGCTAAGACTATAACAGGGTTTAAAAGAGAACTGGATAAATTCATGGAGGTTAAGTCCATTAATGGCTATTAGCCAGGATAGCTAAGGAATAGCGTCCCTAGCCTCTGTTTGTCAGAGGGTGGAGATGGATGGCAGGAGAGAGATCACTAGAGATCATTACCTGTTCGGTTCACTCCCTCTGGGGCACCTGGCAGTGACCACTGTCAGTATACAGGATACTGGGCTGGATGGACCTTTAGTCTGACCCAGTATGGACATTCTTATGATACGATACAATTTTGATATTCCCCACAATCACCAAAAAGCATGAATGTTTTTGATTTTAAAATAAGAGATTAAGAGTTACACCAACATGCTCAATCTTCTTTTGATTGTAGTAAAACAATAGGTCAGGTTTACCCTCATGTACAGCCATTTATGACAGGGATGCATTTGGTCCAGTATTTAAGGTTTAAGCTGTCTCTTGCAGTATTAAATGACTTAGTGCTTTGAACCAGCACTGAGTTCATTTTCTCTTTGAGAATCCTTCATCCTATTTCACAATCCCCTTTGGATTCTGGGTATGTTAGTTATGGTTTTATAAACAAATTTTAGAACTGTATTTGGAATTGCTATACAAAATTTATAGCTAAATTCTCCCCTCTGCTACACCTGTGAAACCCCCACTGAAGTCAAGGAAGTTTCACAATGTGACTGAGGACAGAATTCCTGAGCTTACGTGCATTTAAGCCAAACTGTTTGTTTGCTTTTTTTCAGCTATGTCGGACAGGCAGCACTGAATAATTTTTTCCATTGTTTTTAATTAAGAAGTGGAGTCATTATCCACGTCTCTCTATGACTGTGCATTCTTCTGCAAACACAAAGTAACTTTTCCAAAAGTGGTCAGTGATTCAAAAAGTAAAATCAATGATGGTGCAGCTCCAGTTGTAAAAAATACCGGGAACAAAAACTCATGTACTTCAGAGAGGGCGGAAATACCCCTAAACCCCTTACTACTTTTCTTTTAGTACCTGCACAGAAACGGCATGCATTTCACCAGTCCCTAAAGCAGTTTACATTACATACAGAACCCCAAACCTCCTGTTTAAGTAACTATAGCCTGTTCCTGCCCACACTGGTCTCATCCGTGGAAGGCCTATTCACACTGATAAGCATTGATGTGAGTGACTGCACTGACTTCAAGGAGACTACTCTCACTCAGTGAGACTAGGGATTGCACAGTTAGGCCCACTGACCTGTGGGAGCAGGATGAGACCCTTTAAACTTGAGACCCAAATACTGAAAAGCCTAGAAGTTCAAAGTTAAGGAAGACAATCTATCTATGCCTCACCCCACCTTGCAAACAGTATTAATTCAAGACAAAATGTAATGGGCATGAGTTACCAGCTATCAGCCTTTGCTATCAACTTCCTGGCTTCCCTGTGTGTTTGCGTCACAGTCTTTGTGTTATTTAAATGTAAGGGATGGAAAGTTGTATTTTAAGATCTACAGCAACATAAAATCTTTTAATTCTCACTTTCACCTTTATCTTTAATTTTTGTAATAAATAAATAATGTTTATTTACGGCCAGATTCCCTGCTCTGCCACAGACTCCCTGTGTGACCTTGGGCCAGTCATATAACATTTTCAGAAGTGCCCAAGACTTTCAGTGAGATGCAAGCTCCTAAGGCCCAGACCCTCAAAGGTATTTAGATGCCTAACTCCACTGAGAGATACCTTTGAGGATCTGAGCCTTAGTCACTTTTGAAAATGGCACTTAGGCTCCTAAATCACTTACATACTTTAAATCTTTCTGTGCCTCAGTTTCCCATCTGTGTAATGGACTCAGTAGTATGACCCTACCTCACAGTGAGGACTTGTGAGGATACACTGAACAAAGATTGTAAGGCACTCCGATACTATGGTAATGGGAACCAGGGCCAAGCACAATGGCTTGGTGATCATAAATAATTAATAAATAAATATTACTAACAACTACAATATACAACTAAGTAGGTAAGTGACAGACACATTTTAAATAGCACCTTAATCAACAAAGCAACCCACTGAAGTCCAAAAGGCCCCTTGTAGAGCGAGGTGCTACTCAAAATAAGTAACAGTATCAGAATCTGGTCCTTAGAAAATACAAGCTAGGAAACACTTTGCTGGATTGTACTTTTATCAGCACTACTGCCTTTTCCGGAACTCTCTGAGCAAAGCCATCCATGGAAGGCTGAATGGTTTCTGAGTAGTCACAGAACTGTTTTATATAGCTGCTTGAATCCAGAAGCTGGGGCTTTAAGAAAAACACTAAATATCGCGAGATTTCTGATAAAAGGCGTGAGTTGGCAATACTGTAAAGAGTCTTTCTGCTGGATTGCTTCATACTTGCATTTGTCTGAGGGTGTTGTCTGTGCTAAACTGACCAAGATAGTTTTCCATCCCCAGCAATTTGTACTTAATCATTTTAACATGTCTGATTACAATAAAAACCAACAAAAACCACAACAGTAGAAACAAAGAATCAAGAAAAGAAAGAAATTAAACCCCAGGACGCACTACACAGGAAGAGTTTTAGATCATGCCTCCCCCTGTGTGACTGCACAGGGGCTGGGAAGAGAGCGTACAGTGAACTGTTCCCCTGCACAGATGCTCTCACACTGACACAGATAATCCATCTCTAAGTACTGGGGGGAGAGAACGGGTGGGGATGACTAGAACTGCCTGCACTACTTACTAGCTCCAGAGGTGATTCTGGTCAGGGAATGGGCAGAGCCATGGCTCCACTCCCATGTGCATCAGGATGCAGTCAGGGCCAGACTAGGGTAACCCAGAGCCCTAGAGACACTCCCATGCCACCAGAGGAGGGAGAAATTATGACGGCCAGATTGCTCCCCCCAGGCAGTGGTGGGAATGGCAGGAGGGTGCCTCTTCCTCCACTCAAGCAGTGGCAGGGCCCCTCACCTCAAAGAGGGGATGTGCTCTGCTCTGGTGACGTATGTAGTACTCGTTGGCTTCCTCTCTGGCATTAGTGTCTGCTGCTGGTCTTCCCTGCACTGGAGGCTGTCTGCAAACTCAGACATCTGCTGCACTCGGATTCTAAACGACTTTGCAAACGAGAGGACTAGAAAAATACATTCTTTTTAAAAAAAGACCCTGAAAGCTGCGGTGGTGACTTTATCA